CTACAGGACTTGTTGTCTTTGAGGTTCTTAAAGATGTTTCTTGTCTCATCCAAGAGGCGTCTTCTGTTCTTCAGAACTGTTCGATAAAGTCCAGATGAAGCTTTTGATCGTTCTGCCGTCCGTTATAACATGTCACTGCAAATATGTGGTGTTATCTGCGCAGATACAGTCTGATATGATCCATATGCTGCATGACATGCAATGCAGATTAGAAAAGGCATCTAACTAAGCTGCAGAAAGTGTGCTGCACTGCTGAAACAGCTCTCAGAGTGACATGCAGCCACACAAAGAGACTGACTGTGATCAAAAAGACTTCAGACACTGAAGGTTCTCAGTTGTGCTTCTTGACTGTCTCAAGTAGGAATCGTCTGCAGTGTATTTTGGGTAAATTAGGAGGAGCAGCACAGAATCGGTGCTTCCCTTCCATCTTCCACACATATGAAGAATAAAGATGTTGTTATGAGAGAAACTATCTTCATCTCATCTATTACTGTTTGAAAAAAAAGTCAGGGTGATGAAGAAAATCTTTTTCCAGCTAATATCTGCTGTGCTTTATTTAATAATAAACTAAATTTTGGCAGTTGAAAGAGTCATATTAGCTAGTAAATGTTATTACGTTGGTGTTAATCAGTTTTATTCTATTAGCTCTGGTCTGAGCTGGCTGTACCTTCATACTTTGTCTTTTACAGGTTTTATTTTTCTTATCTTTTGTCTTTTCCCACTGGTTTAGTCAATCAGTTTGAATTACTCCATAAGATTTGCGTGCACTTTATTTAACTAGTCTGTACTGTTTTGTGATTCAGTTTAATTTTACTCTGCTTTATTTTCTATTTGGTCTTTGACATGTTTTAATTGAATTTTACCTTTGCCTGTAAAACACTCTGAACAGCTTCGGTTTATGATAAGATGCTTTATAAATACATTTGCTTGCTGAGATTAGAATTACAGCTTTATCTTTGCTCAGACAGGCTTCCACTGGACTTAGTCAGGATATGAATGTGTTATTCCTGCTCAACATAAACTATTAATATTGAAAATGATATCTGTGAAGACTTTGATTGATATATCAGGTACTTTCCAAGATAACACTTTTTTCATCCCACTTATGGCACTTTTTTTTTTGCACATTGAAATTTGAAGCTGTTTGAAATATCTCAGGAACCATCCATCCATCCATTATCTATACACCGCTTAATCCTCGTTAGGGTCACGGGGGCTGGAGTCTGACTTGTTTTTGGACTGTGGGAGGAAGCTGGAGAACCCAGAGAGAACCCACGCTGCAGGTGGAGAACATGCAAACACCCGGTGCCCCCACTGGGACACAAACCGGCAACTTTCTTGCTGCGAGGCAACAGTGCTACCAACTGCGGCTCTCAAGAAATATGAAAGATAAAAACCTGACATTTTCACTGTTATTTCTTATCATGTCATTGATTCAGAATCTGCAACACTGGACACATTGATTTAATTATCTGTGACTATGGGTGAGTTGAAATATGACAAAAAGAAAGCTGTAGTGAAAAATCCCATCTTTGAGCTCACATTAACAAAGAAACTGTCAATGCAGAAGTCAACTAGTGATATTTTCTGGACCACATGTAGCTGCATGTTACAGTAATGGGAAAAAAACAAAAACAGAAAGGGCTACAAGGTGTATCGGTGGTTAGCACTGTTGCCTCGCAGCTAGAAGGTCGCCGGTTTGAGTCCCGGTGAGGACATGAGGGATCTTTCTGCGTGGAGTTTGCATGTTCTCCTCGTGCAGTGTGGGTTCTCTTCCACACAGTCCAAAAACATGTTGAGGTTAACTGGTGATTCTAAATTGTCTGTAGGTGTGAATGTGAGTGTGTTTGGTTGTCTGTCTCTAAGTGTAGCCCTGTGATAGACTGGTGACCTGTCCAGGTGTCCCCTGCCTTCACCCTGAGTCAGCTGTGATAGACTCCAGCCCCCCATGACCCTAATGAGGATTAAGTTGTGTATAGATAATGGATGGATGGTTACAAAAATGAAAAGAAAGTTATTTTTGTTTAATTAAAGTGTTTGAGTTGAAAATATGTCTTGATAGCCTGATTCAAGTAGAGTTCTGGAGATTCTAAATGGTTCTCTGAATATTTCAGGTACTAAATGAAATGACATGTTGAGACATAAAAAGACGTTTTCAGGCTTTTATCTTGAATAGTTTCTGAGATGTCGTTCAAACAGCTTCAGTTTTCAACTTGTGAAAAAAAATGTGCTGAAAGTGAGCTGACAGCCAATTTATTCAAAAAAAAAATCTCTGAAAGTATTTAAAATGTCAAGCTAAAATTTTACAAATACTCATATTTTATGCTCTAGATCAGGATGGTTGTGCAGAACTTGTTCTAAAAGTTTGATGATTTAAGATGAACTGGCGTTAGTGTAACTTTACTGATGGACGTTTCATGTTTTACTTCGTCAGTTTCCAGCAAAAAAAAAAGGATTCCAACGTAAGAGTAAACCCTGCCTCGATGACACATAGTGTTTGTGTTTTGGTGTTGATTCAACATTATAGTCACGTCTGAAGCTCCAGTTTCCGTTGAATTATTTTGCTTTAGTTATGCCGAGAGGTGTTTCAGATATCTGTAGAGGCAAACCATCAGCAGTGTGCTGTTGTCCCACAAAGTGATCGTCTGCCAAAAACTGGTCCATCCATGGAAGCAACTGCATCGTTTCAGCTGCTCTCTGCCCTACATTAGAACCAAACCAGTTGTTTCTCCCGGTTAAAATAGTTTTAAAGGACCAGTTCAACTTGTATAATGTAGTTTTCCACCTGCCAAGAAGTATTGGCAGCCCCTCTACCGTGACTGAAATGTTATTAATTCATCAAAATGACGAGAATTTTTTAAATTAGAGTTATATTTTAGAGATTATAGGATAATCACAGTTGAGATAATTTATTAATTTGAAAGATAAAACCCATCATTAAATCATGTCAATTACATTCTAATTATGGACAAACACATACAGCCTAAACACCAGAAGCAACACTGCAGTGCTGCCTGTAATTATCCTAAATGTCGGGCCTGATAACGCTGTAATTACAGACGTTGTTCAGTTCCAAAAAATATTAAAAGTTTCACAAAGACACACTTTTACTGTCACCACCTGCAGACATCAAATTCAGTGTATTTGCAGGTTAAGGCTGTTTAATTTAAATGCAAGCAGCTGCATATAAACTGTTGATACAACTTTAACTAGAAGCAAAAAAGTTTTTGGCAGACAAAGACAATTCATCTCCAAAATGATCACAAACTTGATTCAAAACTACATTTGCAACAATAATCGACTTGTTCCTTGACAGAAAATTATTAAGCAACTATTTTGAAAGTTATTGATGGTTTGTTTTGAGTCGTTTGAAAGAAAATAAGAAATTCTGCTTTTTCAGTGTGAGAGGGTTTGCTGCATGTTGGGATTTCTGTCAGTGTAAGTTCGAATATATTTTGAATTTTGACTGTTGCTCTGATAAAATAAGACGTTTCAACATTGTTTTGTGTATAGAATAAACGATTATTGTATTAACTGAGCCCTGCGATGGACTGGCGACCTGTCCAGGGTGTCCCCTGCCTTCGCCCTAAGTCGGCTGGGATAGACTCCAGCCCCCCTGCGACCCTCGTGAGGATTAAGCGGTGTATAGATAATGGATGGATGGATGTATTAACTGAGAAAACAATTGAATGTGCTATGAAAGTAGTCGTTTGTTGCTGCAATGCTATAAAATTTTAGAAGTTAAACTGCACCTTTAAACTTCGTTGACGGTTGAGTTTGTTGCATGGAGACTGTATTAGATTGCACTTGTTTTAGCTATTTCATTAACTTGGTAGTAATTATTCAGCTTAGAATTTATGATTTTACAGCAAAACATTTAATAATGAGTTTTATTTCAAAATTATTTCCAAATAATGTGAAAAGTGCTGCCATGTGGCACTGAAAGAAGTTTTTTTTTTCCCCAAACCAACACAGATCTTTAATGTACTGTCTTTGTTCTGAAAGAGCTTCTCTGGTAATTTTGATGGATTCTTTTCTCTCAAACTCAGCAGAAAATCAGCAGTAACAAATCAGGGAGGAAAGCCACAACAGGAACACTCTAACCTAATCTGGAAACATGATTTAGCCGCCAACTATCGGAGTCATGAAGGTTTTTCTCCCACCCAGATGCAGTCTCTGCCCATGGAGGTGGGAAGCAGCAGCAGCAGCAGCAGCAGCAGCAGCTCGGCGGCCTCGGTGGTGCAGGTGTGCTTCCCCAGCGCTCAGGCCTCGGTGCTGGACAGCCTGAACCGGCAGAGAGAGGACGGCAGGCTCTGTGACCTCTCCATCCACGTCCAGGGACAAGTGTTCAAGGCTCACCGCTGCGTCCTGGCCGCGTCCTCCCCCTACTTCCATGACCAGGTGGGTGTGCTGCTTCTGTAAATGACAGACATCTCAGTCAGTCAGTTGAAAAGTTACTTGCAGTGTGTGTTTAAGTGCTGAAGCAGAGCAGCTGTTACAGTTTGAGGAACCATGACGGCTTAATTGAGCAAATTCTAGCATATAAAATATCAGGACAGACTAATGAGTAAGAGTATTTCAGACAGGACACTTTGTCAGATTTACCCATTTATTTGGAATGACGTGCATTTGAGTTTGGCGGTGACTCTGCTGGAGTGATGCTCTGGAGCAATCTGAGCAGGCATGACACGGATAGTCTCTGAGATCACAAACCCCTCGGCAGAGCCTTAAGTTCACAATGTTCAAATGAACACGGTACAAACACGAAAACAAGGAGACCAGCTTAAATGGTCCTCACTTTACAAAATCCAGTTCACATAGTTTCAAGGTACAACAATGAA